CGTGCTTTGGGCGACAGGGACGCGGCCCGCCAGCGCCTGCTGGTTGCCGTGCGGGATGGAGGACAGCCGCCCCTTTCCGCAACTGTCACGTTGCTCCTGGTTTTCGCAGACAGCCTACAAGAGGCGCTGCCGGATGTCAGCGACCGTCGGGAGCCCTCTGACCCCCAGGCTGAGCTGCAGTTTTACCTGGTGGTGGCCTTGGCCTTGATCTCAGTGCTGTTTCTCCTAGCAGTGATTCTAGCGGTTGCGCTGAGCCTGCAACGCTCCTCCCGCCCTTCCTCCTGGAGCTGCTTTAAGACTGATGTCTGCTCCAAGACTGGATCTGGGGTTATTCCCAACTTTAGCGAAGGGACTTTGCCTTATTCTTACAATCTATGTGCTGCCTCACATTCCTCAGAGACTGAGTTTAAATTTCTCAGTATAAAGCCTGAAAATGGTCCATCACAAGATCTTCTATGTAATGAAGCCTCTTGGTTTGAAAGTGCCAATAATGATAATCGCAAAATGACTTCTAATTCAGTCAATTTGCAACAGGTGAGTTACGTCAAAACCTTTTATTTCTACAAGTATAATTAGGTTATAGATAAAAAGTATACAGGCTAACTATACCCTGATTTTATTGTGTTTTATTGATTTTTCTGGGCATCGTTTGTGTGTGAGGGGTGTTAGAATTTTTTTGTTCATTTATCTGTGTTGCAGTCTTTCATATAAAGTGGCCTTGTGATGTCTTGAAATTTTTGTTAAATCTAAAACCACATATCATGAAACATTTTTGATATATTAGCATCACCCTGTCATTGGGAAACCTTATATAATTAAACACAAATGTAGGCACTTAAGTGGTTTACTTAGTTTCAATGCAGTCAGTCCTAAATTATGTTTTGTAGATAATATATTAATACAAGTTTTCTCATTGTAGACAATATATTTTCACTTCCTTTTTATGTTTTTATTTTATTTTTACAGTTTTTTAAAATTCATTTAAGTAATCCCTACACCCAACATGACGCTCAAATTCATGACATGGATATCAAGAGTCACAGGCTACTCTGATTGAGCCAGCCAACTGCCCCCCTTTTCATGATTTTAAAAGTATACAGAAATATTGCTTATGCTAGAGCATTTATTAATCTATGTGTTAATAAAATAGATGACATCTAAACGTGGCAATACTTGTAACTGGCAGTAGGTGAATTGGTTCCAAATGTGTAGTTGTTGGTGCCCTTATTGAAAATGGGACAAATAGGGGCGCCTGGGTGGCGCAGTTGGTTAAGCGTCCGACGTCAGCCAGGTCACGATCTCGCGGTCCGTGAGTTCGAGCCCCGCGTCGGGCTCTGGGCTGATGGCTCGGAGCCTGGAGCCTGTTTCCGATTCTGTGTCTCCCTCTCTCTCTGCCCCTCCCCCGTTCATGCTCTGTCTCTCTCTGTCCCAAAAATAAATAAACGTTGAAAAAAAAATTAAAAAAAAAAAAGAAAATGGGACAAATAAAAGAGACTCTTAACTATAGAGAAGAAACTGAGGGTTGCTGGAGGGGAAGTGAGGGGGGATGGGCTAAATGGGTGCTAGATATTAAGGACGGCACTTGTGATGAGCCCTGGGTGTTACATGTAAGTGATGAATCACTAAAATCTATCCTGAAACTAGTATTACACTATATCTTAACTAGAATTTAAATAAAAATGTGAAACATTAAAAAATGAAAATGGGACAAATATAAATGATGGTGGAATAGAATTCAAATTTACAGAAAAGCATAATCTTATTTCTTTTCTCCAAGGCCCTAAGAGCTCATGACCCCCCAAAAAATGAGTAGTAAATTCCCGGGAATATATAAAACTATTCAAAATATGCGCTTTTATTCTTCTTGGGGAGAGAAATATGAGTGACATCTAAGCAGATTTAGCAGAAATAAGATTCTTTTTGCATGATGGTTTCACAAAAACGGTGCAGTATTAAGTTAGGACTCTAAGCGTCGCTGTTCACTAATCCCGGCAAGGAAAGTAATGACAACTCAAGTAATATCCTCCAGCACAAAGCAGATCAGACACCATAGCTCTCCAGCTGCGCAGAAATTCTAATCTAAAACGCTTCGCATCTGACCTCTACTTGTTTATGGACCTTGGCTTCTAATTCAGAGAAGCACAAAAAAGTGATTGTGAACCTGCTCCTTCTACTCACAATCCCCAGGAAGTCCATAAGGAGCCTGTCATGGCAGCTCTGCAAAAGCGCCGGCACCAGAGCGGATTAGTGGTACTCGTTATTCTGCTGGGGATTCTGGGGGAGCTCGGGGCCAGGCAGATCCGTTATTCCATTCCTGAAGAGCTGGACAAAGGTTCCTTCGTAGGAAACATCGCTGACGATCTGGGGCTAGAGCTCCAGGAGCTGGGGGAGCGTGGAGTCCGCATCGTCTCCAGAGGTAGGATGCAGCTCTTTTCTCTGAACCCGCGAAGCGGCAACTTGGTCACCGCAGACAGAATAGACCGGGAGGAGCTCTGTGCCCAGACCGCGCGGTGTCTGGTGAGTTTTAACATCCTCATTGAGGATAAACTGAATCTTTATCCCATAGAAGTGGAAATACTGGACATTAATGACAACACACCCCGATTCTTTAGGGAAGAATTAGAAGTGAAAATTCTGGAAAACGCATCCCCATCCTCTCGTTTTCCACTAATGGAGGTCTATGACCTGGATGTGGGAATGAACTCTCTTCAAAGCTTCAAACTCAGCAAGAATAGTCACTTCTCAGTGGACGTGCAGAGTGAAGCTGATAGGCCCAAATACCCGGAGCTGGTGCTTGAGCGTGCCCTGGATCGGGAGGGAGATGCTGTTCACCACCTCATCCTTACTGCTGTGGATGGCGGTGAACCTGTCCGCTCAGGCACTGCTCGAATTCTGGTAACTGTCCTAGACGTGAATGACAACGCTCCAGTATTTACTCAGCCTGTCTATCGTGTAAGTGTTCCTGAAAACCTGCCAGTAGGCACAGCAGTGTTGTCGGTAAATGCTACTGACCAGGATGAAGGAGTCCACGCGGAAGTAATGTATTCCTTCCTGAGGGTAACAGAAAAGATCTCCAAGATTTTCTGCTTGAATGTTTTCACTGGAGAAATCTCGATCTCTGCAAATTTAGACTATGAGGATTCAAGCTTTTATGAACTGGATGTTGAAGCCAGAGATAGGCCAGGTCTACTTGACAGAGCAAAAGTCTTAATAACTATCTTAGATGTAAATGATAATGTACCAGAAGTGGTAGTTACATCTGGAAGCAGATCAGTTGCTGAAAGTATGCCTCCAGGAACAGTAATCGCTCTTTTTCAAGTATATGATAGAGACTCTGGACTGAATGGCCTGGTAACATGCTCCATCTCAAGAAGTATGCCATTTGAACTGGAAAAATCAGTAGACAATTATTATCGATTAGTGACCAATACAGTACTAGATCGAGAACAGGTATCCTTGTACAACATCACTGTAACAGTCACAGACAAAGGAATTCCACCTCTGTCTACAGAAACACTTATTTACCTAAACGTGGCAGATATCAACGACAACCCACCTGCCTTCCCCCACTCCTCCTATTCTGTCTACATCCCTGAAAACAACCCCAGAGGTGCCTCCATCTTCTCTGTGACTGCACATGACCCGGACAGCCATGAGAATGCCCAAGTCACTTACTCCCTGTCTGAAGACACGCTCCGGGGGGCACCCCTATCCTCCTATGTGTCCATCAACTCTGACACTGGTGTCCTATATGCCTTGCATTCCTTCGACTATGAGCAATTCCGTGACCTGCAACTGAGAGTGACTGCGCAGGACAGCGGAGACCCACCGCTTAGCAGCAATGTGTCCTTGAGTATATTCATTCTTGACCAGAATGACAACACACCGGAGATCCTGTACCCCGCCCTCCCCACCGACGGTTCCACAGGCGTGGAGCTGGCACCCCGATCGGCAGAGCCCGGCTACCTGGTAACCAAGGTGGTGGCGGTGGATAGAGACTCTGGCCAGAACGCCTGGTTGTCCTACCGCCTGCTCAAGGCCAGCGAGCCAGGGCTTTTCGCGGTGGGGCTGCACACGGGCGAGGTGCGCACAGCGCGGGCCCTGCAGGACAGAGATGCGCTCAAGCAGAGCCTAGTGGTGGCAGTGCAAGACCACGGCCAACCCCCTCTCTCGGCCACCGTCACGCTCACGGTGGCGGTGGCCGACAGCATTCCAGACGTCCTGGCCGATCTGGGCAGTCTCGAGCCCCCAGCTGACCCTGATGCCTCAGGTCTCACGCTGTACCTGGTGGTGGCGGTGGCCGCAGTCTCCTGCGTCTTCCTTGCCTTTGTGATCGTGCTGCTGGGACTCAGGCTGAGGCGCTGGCATTCGTCCCGTCTACTCCAGGCTACGGGGGTTGGATTGGCTGGCGTGCCCGCCTCGCGCTTTGTGGGCGTGGACGGAGTGCGCGCTTTTCTGCAGACCTACTCCCGGGAGGTCTCGGTCAGGGCGGACTCCAGGGAGAGTCACGTGATCTTCCCCCAGCCCAACTATGCCGACACGCTTATCAGCGGAGAAAGCTGTGGGAAAAGCCAGCCTCTTTTGATTCAGGAAGATTCAGGTTTTTGTAAAGAGGAAGACTCCCTTGTTCAGGTGAGGTTATTCTTTTTATTGGTTTTATTTGAACAAGAACGTTTAAAATTTTCTTTGATCAGTGCTTAGTTTTCTTAGTCTTTGCAGTGCGTCAATTTTGAGAATTTTTAAAATATCAGTTGAACTCTATTAAATCTTAGTTTCGTCTAATTTCATGAAAAAAATCTTAATGTATGATGCAGATTTTCTTTACCTTTCTGCTGCCAAGCTCTTTCTGCCTTGGGTTTCGTTCATTTCTTCTGTTAGAGTGTGTGTGTGTGTGTGTGTGTGTGTGTGTGTGTGTGTGTGTGTGTGTGTGTTCCTGCCTTGTGACATTTGTGAGATTCTTTTTCTTTTCAAAATGTTTTTAATTTATTTTGAGAGAGAAAGTGTTTGAGCAGGGGAGGGGCAGAGAGAGAGAGAGTAAGAGAGAGAGAGTATATCCCATGTTGGCAGAGCCTGAAGTGGGGATCCATCCACCACCCTGGGATCATGACCTGAGCTGAAATTGAGAGTGAAATCCAGAGACCCTCAATCAATTGAGCCAGTCAGGTGCCCCGTGAGATTCTTTTTCTAATGTAAAAAAAAACTGAATTGTTAAGATCAAGGTCTCAGTTTCCCCCGATTTTAATTAATAGCACGTGCTTAAAATAATGGAGATTTGTGAGAGATATTTTCCCCCTTTACTACTTAGGAATCAAAAATTATTTTTATGAAAGATAAAAGTAATTGATCTCTGTAGCAGAGAAGACCCGATCTTTGGTGTTAGCCTGAATAACATTCCTGGAACTATTTGTTATTCATCTCGGGCCAGTCACAATATCTATAGTTTTTAAAGTAAAATTTAAATTAAAAAGACTTGTCTTCTTTACTTCACACAAATTCTGAGAAAATATAACAAAATAATTAAAGTTTTTTTCAACTATAAAGTAGTATAGTGAACAAGTATTTGTTGACATCACCAGTATTATAATTGTGATTGTTAACATGTTAACAAATGTAAGCATCTGATGCTGTATGCCTACTATAATGTCTTCTGCAATATGTGTGCTTGATAGTACTTAAGAGTGCAAATGAATTTTTAAAATAATTTTTAATGTTTATTTTTGAGGGAGAGAGAGTGCACTATTGTGCACAAGCAGTGGAGGGGCAGAGAGAGAGGGAGACAGAAGATCCGAAGCAGGCTCTGTGCTGACAGCAGAGAGCCTGATGCAGGGCTGGAACTCACGAAACAGGAGATCATGATCCCAGATGAAGCCAGATGCTTAATCAAATGAGCCACCCATGCACTCCCGAAATGAATTTCTAACTATGCTTATTAGTGTCCACTTACAAGGATGTATCTCTAAAAATTAGAGAACTGAATATTGAATGGGAGAATGAAGGATTGGTAGTGTTCAAATAAGAATTTAAATAATTTAGCATATTTAACCCACATAAAATAAGGTTTCTGTCATATAGAAACTCTATCCAAATATTTAAGGAAAGGAGAGCTATCATTAGAATTAGTCTCATTCATCATGGCCCAAAGGTGTGAATGAAACTGTGGTTTGATGAGTAGAAAAAAGCAAGGTTTTGAGTTGTTGAAGTTGTTCTAATGGAAAGTGGATTGCCTAGGAGGTAAGAGGTTCTATTATTAGCTCCTTTCAAAAGTAAGCTGTTGGCCCTGGAATTAATAGAATACAGGGGATAATATAATTGGACGAGTTGTTGACATACATAATAGTCAAGGTATTTTCCAATCCTGAGCTGGAGGATTCTATGATCTGATAATGCAATAGATTGGCCACTTATGCTTCTAAATTGGGTATCCACATTTAACATAAATAATTGAAAAGATATGTTGAAAATAAATGAGAACCTTCCTTTGTAACCGGACATTGTCAGTCTTTTTTTTTTTAATGTTTATTTATTTCTTTTTCAGAGAGAGAGAGTGTGTGTGCACAAGGGGGTGAGGGGGAGAGAGCAAGGGAAACACAGAATCTGAAGCAGGCTCCAGGCTCTGAGTTATCAGCGCAGAGCCTGATGTGGTCCTTAAGCCCACCAACTGTGAGATCATGACCTAAGCTGAAGTTGGATGCTTAACCAAATGAAACACCCAGGTGCCCCAATCATCTCTAAGATAATATTGGGGCACCTGCGTGGCTCAGTCGGTTAAGCATCTGGCTTCGGCTCAGGTCATGATCTCGCAGTTTGTGAGTTCAAGCCCTGAATCTCATTGGGCTCTGTGCTGACAGCTCGGAGCCTGGAGCCTGCTTCGGATTCTGTGTCTCCTTCTATCTCTGCCCCTCCCCCACTTGTGCTCTGTGTCTCTCTGTTTCTCAAAAATAAATAAACGTAAAAAAAATTTTAATATAATGTTGAGTTGATGCCTTTAAATTAGATGCTAAATGTATTCTATGTTTCCCCAAATCAGTATTGTGGTATTTACTTCTCAGAGATTATTTTAGAATTATTTATTTCAAGGTTCCAAATGTATATGACTAAGAGATTCCAGACATACACATTTTCAAATATGATTTTCTTGGACATTTGTGATATAATTATTTGATGGTTTTATTAGGAATTTAATAGTAAATAATTTTAAACAACTTGAATCTTGGGTATTGGTCATGGGAGTCAGATCATCTCATACAAGTTTTAAGATTTGTTTGATATGATCTGAGAGTGTAAATGTTTTTTATAGCACCAATTCTGGATGATTTAAGCTACATCGTGAAAAAATAAAAATAAATTACATCTTAAACCTGCATTGTTGTAAGCAAAGTTCACTTAACTGGGTTTTATGGATAGTAGGCTGGTTTATTTTATTCGTCTTATCTGTTCACTCACTAATGGGATAGTAGGATGGTTTGTTTCATTATTTCATTCTCTTACCTGAATTACCTATGACCATTCCATTTAAATAAATAAAATATTTTGTTGAGAAAAACTATCAGATTCTACTCTCAATAATACTCATTCATGTGGACTGACCAAGTGTTAAATCCTAGCAGTCATGGAATTTGCTAAATTCTGACTAACTGAGGTTCTCAGACCTACATACAATACAGATCATATTAATAAGATAGGCAGTCTGAAATTTTAAGTACTGAATTTTGAAGCATCAGGAAGAAAACCTACCAAATTATTGGGCTAGTTTATCATCTTTGAAAACCACCCATCTGATGAAACTTCTGTTGAGGTGACAGTTGTCAATGGGAAGAAGTAAAAATCTCAGAGAGAAATGGAAAATACCTACATGTTTGCCTGGGAATGTAAATCTAAACAGAACTCCAAACAATGTTTTCTCAATAGAAAAAAAGTTCCATAAAGAAAGGAGAGACGATGAATAACTCGATGCCTAGGAAGTCAATTAGACTTTCCATACAATTTTTTCCATAGAATTTTTTATGCAAGTAAACAGGTGAAGGTCCATTCTTCCTAATAATCAATAATAACATACTTCCTTTAAAACTATAAACTTATTTCAGTTTTATATGGTAAGCCTATGTTATATTTAACATAACTCATTGGTCTAGTAGAGATCTTTAATATTTAAATTTATGTTGTAGAGTAACTTAGAAAAATTGGTTACTAGAGATATAAAGCCAGTTATTCCCTAAAGTATGCTTTATGTTCAGAGTATGTTCATAATCTTATTCATCTAGATCTTACTTATTTAGTTCCAAATAAGGTATCCAGAAGTAATAAGTTAACTGAGACTTTTTAAAAATAGTAGAATAAGAAAGAAATGTAAGATGACACTATGATTTTTGAAGTGTTAGGTAGAAAAAAGATCACAGCATTGGCAGCCATAATATTCAGACATAAAAGTTTTGTTTAAAAATGTCTGCAAGTATTCATGATCTTTAATGACTTTGCTTACGTCAACAAGAAGTTCAAAATTACTACTAAACAAATAGTATTTAACTCCTATTTATGGAACTAATCTGTAATACTCATATTGGCTCCTTTGAACAAAAAGTTATTCTGTCTACTTGGTGAAAACAAACATGGCTGTAAATTATTTTGATAGATTAAAACAGCATTTCATTCAAAGTATTGCCTATATTTTGGACCAGTGCCATCAGAGAGCAGAAATAGGTTACGTAGTTAGGAAATCTCCAGCAACTAAGTCAAGCATTTTCAGTGCTACTTTTGATTTCTCTTCCTGGTGCTGCTATCTACTCCCCTATGGCTTAAAATAATTTACAAAGCAAGGTTATTTCTTTTTTAAAAAGTTTATTTATATAAGTAATCTCTAAACCTAACATGGGGCCTGAACTGACAATCTCAAAATCAAGAATTGCACGCTCTTCCAACTGAGCCATCCAGGCGCCCTATGAAGTAGGGTTATTTCTTGCCAGGTCTTCATTTCAGAACAGGTAACTCTCTTTTCTCTTGCAACTATGTGGAAGGAACTTTATTTCTATAAGCTGAGAAGAACTGAGCCATCAACAATTCAGTTTTACTTAACATCAGTGGAAAAATTGGTACCTCTAATGATCTTCTCAGGACAGTTCTGTTTGTATGCTCAAAGGCTATCTGGAGGCCCATCTTTTTTCAATCATTCTAGAATAATCATCTAGAGTAGGAAGATTATTTGAATTGCATAATGAAGAAAAGCAGTCAACATCCACTTTAACATTCCACAGCTAGTAGAATCTCTGCAAATTCCTGCCTTCTGTACAAAATTTCGTCTATAGCTGACTGCTACTGCTTGGGTTCTCACCTCATCTCTAATGGCACTTTTTGAGCATAAAGCATCAGCCAAGGCAAATGGTTTTCTTTTTTCTGCTCAAAACACTGGAAGTGATGATATTTGTATTCCAACGTATACTATTATATATATAATCAAGGACAAGGTAATTTCCTCTTATTTTTAAAATCATTAAAATGAAGGTATTGGACTAAATCATCTCTAAGGTTCCTTCCAATCAAAAACTTAATTAAATGACCTGTCTGTATCTTAAAGAAAATTTTGACTGAGTCTTACGTGGTAGTGTCTAGAACATAGTATGTGTTCAATATTAATGAATTAACTTAAATTTATTATACTGATGAAAACGATTTCTACATAGCATCTTTCTTATGTATACACACACACACCTTTTCAAATAAGTTGTACTTTTTTTTACCTGAAAACACTACTTTTACTCCATGTTCAGTGAAGTCTGAGGTAGCACCCAACATCATTTCAAAGTTGCAATGCAAAAGAGAAAAAAAAAATGTAATTATCTTGAATTAATAAGCATCCATCATAAGCATTGTTGCATTATTTCATTTAACTGGAATGTATTTTTAAGTTAGATATATAGATCGAAGACATATAAATGGAAGGATTTTGAAGGATAAAACAACTTTCTGAAAAATCAGTTATCTTGCTTCAATATGGTGCAGTAACTTAGTAAGGACTCTGAGCGCCGCTGTTCACCAACCACGGGGAAAGTGGTGCAATAAGATCTGCCAGAGCCACCGAGATTTTACAGTACAAAGAAACATCAGATTGAGACAAATTCTCTTCCAAGCTGCATCAAACTCCGGTATCTATTATACTAAATTCCGGGCTTCTCTTATGAATACAAAGGATTCCACGCTGACACACTGGCATCCATAAGCGCAAAAAGAGATAGTCCAGTGTCTAACAAGATCAGCAGGACAACAATGGCGACTCTGAAGAGGGGTCGAGACTACAGAGGATTCATCCTGCTCTCCATCCTCCTGGGGACCCGGAGAGAAGCTTGGGCAGGACATATTTTCTACTCTTTGCCGGAGGAAACAGACACAGGGTCTTTTGTGGGTAATATCGCTAAGGATCTGGGCCTGGAGCCCCGGGAACTGGCAGAGCACGGAATCCGCATCGTCTCCAGAGGTAGGACACAGCTTTTCGCTCTGAATCCGCGAAGCGGCAGCTTGGTCACTGCAGGCAGAATAGACCGGGAGGAGCTCTGCGCTCAGAGTGCACGGTGCCTGGTGAACTTTAACATCCTGATGGATAAAATGAGTCTTTACCCTATAGAAGTGGAAATAATAGATGTTAATGACAATTCTCCTAGATTCTTGACAGAAGAAATGACTGTAAAAATAACGGAGAACACAGCTCCTGGGGTGCGGTTTCCCTTAAATGAGGCTAGGGATCCAGATGTGGGCACGAACTCCCTCCAGAGCTACCAGCTCAGTCCCAATCGTCACTTCTCCCTGGTTGTGCAGACTGGAGATGATGGAGCTAAATATCCAGAATTAGTGCTGGAAAGGGTGCTGGATAGAGAGGAAGAGGCTGTTCACCACCTACTCCTTACAGCCTCTGACGGCGGTGACCCACCCCGATCGCAAACCGCCCGCATCCAGGTAACTGTGGTGGATGTGAATGATCACGTGCCAGTCTTCTCTTTGCCTCAGTACCAAGTAACTGTCCCTGAGAACGTACCAGTGGGCACAAGATTGCTCACAGTACACGCTGTCGATCTGGATGAGGGAGTCAATGGGGAAGTGACATATTCTTTCCGGAAAATAACTCAAAAAATTCTACAGATATTCCAACTGAACCCTCATACAGGAGAATTATCAACTTCAGAAGGCCTAGATTATGAAGAGTCCAGCTACTATGAAATGGAAGTTCAGGCTCAGGACGGTCCTGGTAGCATGACAAGGGCTAAAGTAATTATCACAATTTTAGATGTGAATGACAATGCCCCAGAAGTGACTCTAACATCTGTAAGCAACTCAATCCCTGAAGACACTCCTCCTGGAACAGTAATTGCTCTTTTCTACCTTCAAGATCGAGATTCCGGCAAGAATGGTGAGGTGACCTGCACTATTTCAGAAAATCTGTCTTTTAAATTAGAAAGATCAGTAGACAATTATTATAGGTTGCTGACAGCGAAAAACCTAGACCGGGAAAAACTCCCTGTGTATAACATCACACTGAAAGCCACAGATGGTGGAACCCCACCCTTGTCCATGGAAACTCACATCTCAGTGAATGTGGCAGATACCAACGACAACCCACCTGCCTTCCCCCACTCCTCCTATTCTGTCTACATCCCTGAAAACAACCCCAGAGGTGCCTCCATCTTCTCTGTGACTGCACATGACCCGGACAGCCATGAGAATGCCCAAGTCACTTACTCCCTGTCTGAAGACACGCTCCGGGGGGCACCCCTATCCTCCTATGTGTCCATCAACTCTGACACTGGTGTCCTATATGCCTTGCATTCCTTCGACTATGAGCAATTCCGTGACCTGCAACTGAGAGTGACTGCGCAGGACAGCGGAGACCCACCGCTTAGCAGCAATGTGTCCTTGAGTATATTCATTCTTGACCAGAATGACAACACA